CCCAAGGGGTTCATATGTTAGGCCAGTCATAACGCTAAGGTCCACTGTATCAGCTTCCTCTCTTTTTTAATGGTGTAAGAAAAACTGATACTCCACCTTCTCTAGGATATTTCAGCCTGATGGAGTTTAATTCCTCCCTCCCTTAAATGTTCGATAATTATTACAGCCTTAATTCCCTACTCTTTCAAGCTCCTATAATGCGGTGACAAGTGAAGCTATCACTGCAGAGAGAGCGCATGAACAATACATTGTGACAATAAAAGAAGGCAATATATGTTGAGGGCCAGGCTCAAAGGAGATCTGCTTTTCAATGGGGAGGTATTTGAGGACTTCTACCAGTGAAACGTTTTAAAAACCAGACATAGAGAGTGCTCCCAGAAAAGGCCTGGAAATTTGAGAGTGCAGTGCGCTACATTCCTTTTTACAAGAGGGCTTCCCCAGATGCAGACCTAGATGGTAGAGTTTCAGAGGGGAGAAGGTCCCAGGAAGCATTTGTAGCTAAAGAGTAATGGGCTGTAAAACAGAAGAAAACAACAGCACACATAATTATCTCAATTGATGCAGAAAGAAGCATCTGCCAAAATCTCATACCTGTTCATGACAGAGCTGAACACTATCACTATTTCAACAACCAACAAACAAGGAATAGAAGACAACTACCTAACCATAATGAAGAACAGATATGAAAACTCACAGAACCATCATACTCAAAGGAGACAGACTGGAAGCTTTTCCTCTAACATCAGTACCAAGACAAAAATGTCTGCTTTTATCACTTCTGTTCTACGTATTATGAAAAATCCTAGTCAGAATAATTAGGCAAAAAAAAGAAAAGGCATCAAAGGGGGATAAGAAAAAGTGAAATTATTTCTGTTTACAGATAACAAGCTCATATATGTAGGAAAACTCAAATATTCTACAAAACCTATTAAAACTACTAAATTCATCAAGGTACCAAGATACAAAATCAACATGCAAGATTCAATTAGAATTCTCATAACAAATAATCCAAATAATTTAAGAGCTCAGTTTCATAACAATATAATCTAAAAGATTACAACACTAATGAATTAACAAAGGAAGTGAAAGAATTATACATTAAAAACTATAAGATATCGCTAAAAGAAAGTAAAGGACACAAAATAGTGGAAAGATATCCCATGTTCATGTATTATTTTAGCTTAAAATTGCTAAGATGTTCACACTACTCAGAGTGATCTACAGATAGAATGCAATTCCTACTAAAACTGTAATAGTAGTTTTTGCAAAAGTAGAAATGTTCATTCTAAAAGAATCTCGAGGAACCCCAATTAGTCAAAACAATTTGGAAACAAACAAAGCTCAATGTCATATACTTCCTGATTTCAAAATTTGTTATAAAGCTACAATACAAACAAAACAAAAAATAGTGTGTTCCAAACATAAAGATAAATATGTAAACCAAGGGACTATACAATATAGGCCACAGAACTACAACCTTACATGCTTGATAAATGTTTTTTGACAAGGTCTCCAAGATGTAAACGTTATTAAGAAAACCAAACAAATTAAACTGTACACTTACCTATACCATACAAACATTTACTGAAAATGGATGAATAACCTACAAGTAAGAGTTAAAACGATAAATGTAGAAGAAAATATAGGAGAAATATCAATAATATTGAATTTGAAAATAATTTCTTGGATGCAGCACAAAAGATACAGCTATTAGATGAAAAATAAACCAACATGATTTAATCAAAACTAAAACCTTTTGTGCATCAATGGACAATATTAAAGTAAAGAGCCAATTTATATGTTTGGAAAAAACACAAATCATACGTCTGATAAGAGATTACTACACAAAATAGACAAACAATTTTTGCAACTCCACTCCAAAAAAGCAATCAACTTAATTGAAAATGAGCAAAGGACATGAAAAGATATTTCTCAAAAGAAGAAATATAAAATAGTAAATATGTAAAATAATGTTCTACTAACAAGCAAGGGAATGTAATTGAAAACCACAATGAGATCCAACACCACACCAATTTGTATATCTATTACCAAAATTACATAAATAAGAGGTTTGGCATGGAATGTACAGAAACTGGAATACTTGTATATTGTTTGCTAGGATATAAAGTGGTGAAGCTACTGTAGAAAATAGTATGGTGGTTCATGAAAAAAAAATATGAAGAGTTACTGTTCTATTCAGGAATTTCACTTTTGGACTTATGCAAAAAGAACTGAAAGTTGAGACTTAAATAGGTATTCATGCTTGTTCCAAGATTAATTAAAAGGTTAAAATAAAACAAAATTCCACTATTGGGTGAATGGATAAACAAAATATAATGTCCATACAATAAAATATTTATTTGCCTTAAAAAGGAATGAAATTCTGATACAGGCATCAACATGGTTAAACTTTGAAAACAATTATGCTAAGTAAAATAACCCAGATATAAATGATCAAATATTTCATGGTTCACCTGTACAAGTTGCCTAGAATAGTCAATATATAGAGACAAAAAGTTTGATGCTGAGAGGACATGAGAAGTTATTAATTATTAAGTTCACAGTATCAAAATGAAATGATACAAATTCTGGAAAGAGATGGTGGTGACTATACAAGAACCAGAATGAACTCTACCAAAGAACTTCAAAATGGCTAAAATAGTGAATTTTATGTTATATATATTTCATGATAATAAAAAACTCAGCTGACAAATTTGGTTCTATTTCTGGACTACCTACGATGTTACACTGATACACGTTTATATTTATGACATCACAGACTTTATTATTGGAATCTTATAGTAAGCTCTGAAATCAGGAAACACAAACACTGCAATATTCTCTCCATAGTCAGTATGCTTTTGGCTATTATAAATATTTTGAATTTCCATATAAATTTTATAAACTGCTTGTACATATCTGCGTGAGTGCTTTGACTGGTTTTGGTATAGGAGGACATAGGACAGCTCATCAACGTTGAATCTTCAATTCATGATCATGTTATAGTTCGCCATTTATTTGTTTATTTCATTTAACACATCCTTTTTTTTTTTTTTTTTTGGTACTGGGGATCAAACTCGGGTCCTTGTGCTTGCAAGGCAGGTGGTGGAACCACTGAGCTAAATCCCTGGGCCTCGTTTAACACATTCATTTATTTAAATTATTTCATCATGGTTTTATAATTTTCAGGATAGATATCATATATATATTTTGTTAAATTTATCCCCAAATATGTTATACTTTTGATGAATTGTAAATTTATTTTTATTTCATTTTCCAATAGCTTGTTAGTTATAGAAACTGGGATGTGCCTATTTCCAGCAACTTTGCTAAATTTGTGTGTTATCCTACTTTTCTCTGCTTACATAATAAAATCTAGAAATAATATAGTATTATCTGTTCCTTTACAATTGTTATGCTGTTTTATATTCATGTTCTGAATTGCTGTACAAGCTAGAATATCCAAAAAATCTTTTTGAGTAGAAAGGATGCAGGTGTTGACTTTGGAAAGAATATTTGGTGTGAATTATAAAGTTATTGGTAAGACCTTGTTGTCACATAAATATTATTTATATTTTGTTGAAAGTGCTTATTAATAGGTGTTGAACAGTATAAAATGTTTTTTTTGCATTTGTTGACATTGCCATGAAAAATTTCCTCCTTCAAAAGAATGTGGGTCTATGTATTTTACCTATTTTTCTTGAAAAGTTTGAAATCAATACTATTGTTGCATGTTGAAATACTAAAATTTACAATTATATTTTACTGATCTCAGGCATATGTGATATATTTATTCCAGAGCATTGTATGAATTATACCTTTTCTCTGAAAAAAAGAAGAGGGAAGAGGGAGGGAGGGAGGGAGAGAGAGAGAGAAAGAGAGAGAGAGAGGAAAGAAATGGATCACTCTTTTGTTATTAACCAAGGAGAAGAAAGGGCAATCCCATGGGAACATTTTAATCAGCCTTGACATCCAAGCCCATGATTCAGGATGATTTAAATGGTCTGTGACAAAGCAGTCTGCAAAATGCCCATTATCTTTAGTTAGCACAGGTCCACTGATTTAGGACCTTGTGTGACTCCCACAGGGTGTTACTAAGAAGTGATGTGTAAACTTCAGTTCAGCATTATTCACCACCAGCTGAACACTGCAAGGTAAGTCTGTTAGCAAGGAACAAATTAAATCTTCATGCTAAATAGCTGCAGATATATAGGGACTCAAAAGAGCAGAGTGTTCAAAATGTTCTGGAATTATTTTTCGGAAATCACATATGGCAACATTGTTGCAATGATGTGTTTAATGATATTATATAACAAATGGTAACCTCTACAGTTTATTCTGTTTTAGGGTAAAATCTTTTTATCAAATAAAATCTAATCTCACCTAAGGAAGTTTTCCACAGCTGTGCTTCCATGATACTAAGTACACCAATCAATTTTGTATGAAAATGTATGGTTCTTTCTGAGGCTAGATTAAAACTAGCATGATATGTCCACAGATTAGCTCATTGGAGAGAGGAATTGCTAAACATGCATAATTCTATCAAAGAGGTCCACAGAACCATTCTAATACAATTCCATGGGAAAATTATTCACACTGAGTTCAGCGCCTACTACCTAGAGCTTTTTGCTTCATGGACACAGGGAGATGGGTTTCAACTTTGTACCACATCCAAGAGAAAACTAAAGCAGGGGGCACCTTCATGCATTGTTCGCAGCCACTTTTCTGGGTAAGCAGGTAGAACGCACTCTCATAATCAGAAAATGCAAGTGCCACTCCCCACCATAAGGCAGGTAGGAGTCACAGACATCAAGGTGGAGTAGGGCTCACACTTGTGGACCTGGCAAGGTCCTCACAAATGGGCATGGCTTACTTAGCAATGTGAACAAAACTTACTGCAGGACCACTGTTTAGGCTCTGCAAGTAAAACATATTAAGAATTTTCTTTGAATAAATATTTTTATTAACCAAAAATGTCAACAGAAGGAAGAGCTACTTACACCGGAATAGAAAGGCTCACCAGACACGCATATCACATCTTGCTCCTGGATGATCAGAATGTCTTTGGCTAGGTGCAGCCGGATTTTGAAAGGCTCCTGATTACCATCCTGCAGCAAACAAATCCCTGTCTTTGTCTTCAGACAAAAAAAAAAAAAAAAGCAAAACAGAAAAGAAGGTGTTCTTAGTTTATAATTTTATGGCCTATTTACACCAAAACATGACGCATAATATTTTAGAACTGAGGAAAATGCATTTTTGTGGGTCTGAATGTATCAGTATAAGTGCAGACCAAAAGTATAAGCATTTTAAGCAAAATAGCATTCAGATAATGAATATTATGTTAAGAAAATTACACATTTGGAGAATAAGATTCCAGAAAAATACTGTTGCATTTGAATAACAATGAAAGTTTGGTTTAATACTTAATATTTAAATATAAAAACAATAGCTTTATTGGCAAACAATTCACATTCCATAGCATTCAGCCTCTGAAATGTATAGTTCATGTGTTTTTAGAATATGCAGAAGAATGCACCCATTATTGTAATCAATATCAGAATGTTTACTTCACTCCCCAAAATACCTCATACTCCTATTCCTTTCTGTTCCCTCCACATGCTCCAGATTAGGCAAGAGCTAATTTATTTTCTGTCTCTATCATAAGCATTTAGAGAGGAGAGAGGAAAAAATGGAGAAGAGGATATAAAAAGAATTCAAATGAGTAAGGAACATGTACCATCTCCCCATGATGAATGTAATCATGTACTGCAAACGTGCAGTAATAGAAGTAAAAGTAAATCTTTAAAACTGGTAACATACTGCATAACATTTACTCTTTTATCACTCCTCATTGTTGATACACACAACTGCATGTGCAGAAACACACACACGTACACACAGACACACATTTGATACATATGAGGGGAGGTGGATAGGGGGTAGGTGAGCTACCTAAATGAACACAGTGAAAAGAAAAGGGCCTAACTGAAGTTCCAAAATTTTTACTTCTCAATCTATGTTATTATTTGACAATATTTGGGAATTATGAAAGCAGACTGTGAACAATTTCTGGATGTGTACTATAGGCTTTAAACCAGCACCTTAGCCATCACCAAAATCTGTGAATCTTGTCATTTTCAAATCACTTTGGTGCTGTAATAGTCACACAGATGAATTCATTCTTCCTAGGGAGTGTATTTAACCTTCCCCTTTGTCACAGACAGAAAAGGAAATTCCTTGGAGACAGAATATCTCTGGCTCTCGTTCTGAACCAAAAGGCATCAGGAGCAATGACTATTTTAGAAATGACATTTTTGTTTGATAATTAGCTAGATGCTCTGAACTAAATGGACAAATAAATTGTGATACGTATTTTTCCATAATATTTAGAGTGTAATGTTCCAGGAAAATAATACCAAGCTTTTTCCTGGGGTATAATTTTCCATGGAGATTACAAGGAATTTGTTGCTTTAGAAGAATTTTTGGTATTGATGATGGAAAGATATTTAGATACTGCAGCTTTCAAAGATCAGTCTGTAAACTGATTTATCCATGTGCCAATATGTACCATATTCCCCAGTATCCCATACAATCACATATTAGCCTAAAATCATTTTGTAAGAGTTATGTCTGCTGTTTTTAGGAAAAATAGAAGCTTCTTTAAGTGAAAGACAGCATTCTTTCTTCATTCCTGGCCGCAGCACACAGCAGGTGCTCAGTAAATCATGCCGACTAATCTACTCTAGAGTGTAATTCAAGTGGATACGTCTAGTAGACGAAAATACTTCAGCACAAGGAAATTAGACTTTCCTTACTATAAAATATTATTTTTCTACATTTTCATAAGAAAATATTCTCATGCTCACTATGTGAACTTGGCGGGGGTAGACATGCAGGCACTGTAAGTGATATGAAGAGTGAAGATGTAAAATCCTACATGAAAGCCAAGTGATGGTAATTGAGCACATTTGATGATTTTTCAGTGTACACTATATTTTTGGCACATTTTCCCCCTAGTTGTCACAAATAATGCTGTTTTTACTTCAGGATGACAGAGGGGCTTTTCCCTGAGAGCCCAGAAGTGCATTTTTGTTACACATCAAAGAGATACAACAGATCATTCAGAGAAATGCTAAAAACTCAGATACAGCCTTAAGGGCTCTCTCTCCATTCATTTCCAATGTGGCCAAGGCCAGCACTGTCTCGAGTGATGTGTAAAATGTCCCCAAATTATTAGACAGTTGTCTAGAAAAACAGAACATAGTTCACTTTGGGGTACCGAGAGGACAAGATTTACAAAAAATAAAGAATGAGGTAGATTTTTGTTAGAGTCAAGTGCTCCCCATCCCCCCAAAATTATAGCTTGGAGGAAACAGGAAGAACTTGAGACAAACTGATATTAAAATGCATAAAATTTTTGAAAGGTTATAGAATTACATATTTCTACAATAAGGGCTTAGCCAGAGCACATGAAGATACATTTAATCTCGTACATTCATTACTTTTATAAGTATTGTGTAACATTAACAGAAAAACAGATATGAATTAGGCAATAGTCCTGTACCTCAAAATATTCCTACTTATTTTTAAAGTACAAGTATAAATAGGATGTAATGGGCATCTGATATGAGAACATCATGGAGAGAAGCATTAAATATTCTTGAGAGAAGGAGATTTTCGAGGAGGGTTAGCAGGTACAAAACGTGTGGTTTGTCTCAGAAATAAATTGGGGAACTGATTATTAGAGGAGACAAAGGGTATTTTAATCAAGAGGTGGAAATGAGCAAAGATAAGGAGGTATGAAAATGCAGAGCTCACGGGAGGCAAGAAAACAGAAGTGGAAGGAAGAAGAAAGAAGGAAGAAGGCACCATTTATGTGGGGCTGTGTGACCCGGCAGGCAGAGGGTGTGGGATGAGAAACTGGAAGAGGAAGTGAGTCCAAGCCCTCATACGATGTGCCAGGGATTTGAAGGAACAGATATGCCCTGGCCAAAAGTGAATGGTAAAATAATACGTTCACATTTATGCTAAGTATGTTGCTTACAGGAAAGAAAAGAAATTGAGGAAATTGGAAGGTGAAATGTAGTTACTTTTGACAGAAGCCTAGACTTTGAGCAGGGAAGGCTGGGGACTGGTGAACAGTAGAATTAGAGTCAAAGTTCCTCTGGGAGATTAAAGATTTTAAAAAATCAATTTCCGAGCTCAGTCATGAGGGGGAGCTATGAGGCTTGATGGGGATCCTCAGTAATGGAATGTCGCCGCAAACTCCTTGTATCTGTTTACTAATAACAAATACTTAGCATGTGCCAAAGATTATTAATTGCTGTGCTTTCTAGCAACCCCGTGCAAGTGCAAGCACTTTGACAGAGGACAGGAGCAGGGGCTGAGGAGTGGCACGACAGGGCGGAGTCCAGGCTACAGGGCTCCTTCTGGTGTTCCTTACCGCTGGCTCTGGTTTCTCTCATTCAGAGACGGACTACGGCTGCCTGCCCCAGTCTTCCTGCAAACAAGGACGTGGCCATTACCATCCTCATGGCGCAAGCGTTGTAGCTCCGTGATAGAATGCTTGCCTACCAGGTGATCCCCGGGACCACAGAACAGCCCGAAATCAAAATAATGTAAATAATGGAAACAAAAAGAATCTTTTCCCCTAAAGCCATGCTACGTGGGGTCATAGGACACTGTATGGGGTGAGGGTGGGTTTGATCTCCAGTCTCCTACAACAATCTCGCTGTCAAGTCTGTACGGCACCATCACAAATTAAAAGTTACCTGAACAATTATCAGTCCTCAATTTTAGGATAAATATAAGCCATTACTAATTTTTATTTCTTTATTATTTTTTTTTCTGGATTGAACTCGGGACCTTGCGCTTGCAAGGCAGGTGCCAGAACCACTGACCTAAATCCCCAGCCCTATTTCTTTACTAATACAACAATTATCAATTCTTTGTTTCCAAATTTTGTCAGCTATACATAACATCACACATAATTTGAGAAATGTATGTGAGTCATATAATATACTAATTTACTATAAATCATGCATGAAGCTTATAATTTTGAGGATGATTCATAAAAATAATACAAGTCAAATATTGTTTTTTTGTGCTCGATGAACGGTATCACCTAGATTTTATAAATTCCATATTGGAGACGATTTATATAAAAGGAATTAATAAAAATAACATTTCTAGGCTGGGGATTTACCTCAGTGGTTTCACCGCCTGCACAAGGACCCCGGTACCAAAAATAAATAAATAAATAAATACATAAGTAAGTAATAAATAAATAAATAAAAATGACATTCTTTAGTAATTTAAAAGGAAATATTCTTAAAATTCTACTTATCGGCTGTGTTTTCTCCGAATCAATGAAGTGTAGTTATGAATTTGCAGAAACTTACTTTTTATCACATAATCAAATCTCAGGTTTAAACTTGCAAAGAATTTAACTGAGTACCTAAATTGAAATTTTAAAAAGTAGGCTGTCATCTACATCCTACTTAAAAGTTAAGACCTTTTAAAGTTATGTTCTAATATTCTAATCAAAAAATAAAAAGTAGGTTTTTGTGAAACTTATTTGTTTTGCTATTTTTTAATTAGTTATCACTTTATTCATAGACCTTCCCTGCAATTCCAAAATAAGTGTCTTCCTATAGCCAGGCAGGCAGGGCCCCTAGATCCTGCCAGCCTCTGGGTGCAGCCCACATCAGGAACCTGTTCAGCGTCCTTGTGTTGTGTTGTTTGATTGTGTTTCTTGTTTAGAAAGACTTTTGCCCTCACTGATCATCAAATCATTGTTTCTCTTCTTCACACAGCCAAGAGGTTTGTCCCCCCGCTGATTTAGTAAGTAAGTGACAAACATTTCCCTTCAGCTTCCTCCTCCTTTCAGCCCCCCACAGCCTCTGATACTTCTTATTAGTACAGGCTTGCAGTACATAATGAATATGTTCATTGTGGGTAGCTGGTATGCTTGAAATGAAGAACTTACAATATCAAATGAAATAAACCTGGTAAAGACTGTAATATAAATTCCAAATACTCTTGCAGGTATTCCTGTTATTTAGGTGTCAAATGCAATTTCTTTTGTTTATCTCTAATCTTAAGTAATTTGCAATTTATTATACTGAACCTTATTGTAGCTGTAGTATACTAAATATTATTTCAGACAAGGTGTTTCAAATTCTATCTTCCCATTTACTTTCCCTTTCTTGGATTACTCCTAATCCTGGCCTCTTCCTCATCTAAATTCTAGCCATTTTTTGGGTCCTGGTACAAGATTCTTTTTTATTTGAAGCCTTCTGAAACCACTCCTTCTGAGGATAATTTCTCACTTTTTTCAACTCCAGGCTTTCATTAAATAAATATTCAGTCCAAAACTGATCAGTAATACATTTGGACAACACATGTAATGACTTCAATAATACTTTGTTTTACATCACATTATTTATTTTTATTTCAAGATATTTTAATATTAAGCTATTATTCTTTTAATCACTGAGGATAATTAATCTATATGACCCATCATAGTAGTTTGTTCACAGTAAAACTTCTTTTGACATTTGTTGATTGTATTGGGGCTAGAAAATGATACTCTGTGGACTTGTGCTTGGAATGCTGACAGGCTTAGAAGATGTCCCAGATTCCAGGTCTCTCTGCCCTTCCTTTCATACTCCCCCTTGCAGCCCAGGCATAGCCATTGTGTAGAATTACTGCATCTTTCTGACTGGATTAGTCAAAACAGGAACACTATTGCCTTCTGTCTTCTTCCTGAAATTTTATTAACCAGAAAGACTAACTCATGTTGCAAGAAGGAAGACTGAATCCAAACGCCATGTTAAAATGCAGGGTAACTTTGTCTGTCCTTCTGGTCCCATATCTACCCTAAGAAGGACTTACTAGCCCTCTTAAATTGCCTACACCCCATCTCCCTCTCTCCACTGAGATTTAACCTTTAGCTACCTATCCTTTGCTTTGAGTTTCATACATGGTGAATGAATATTGCATTTCTGCACAACAGTGAATTTTGCACATTGTTTCTTGTTAATGTGTCTACTGACAGTTTATTTAATAGACTGAAATTATTGAAATTTCAGTGGGCAAATGTAAGCTGCTCTACAATTGAAACACAATCATACAGTATAATTTATTATAGAAAGCTGAATTAAATTATATACCTGCACTAATTATTAAAATATTAAATAGTCATGCATTGCTTGGCAATGGAGACAAGTTCCGAGAAATGTATTTTTAGATAATTGTTTTATATGAACATGACAGTACTTTTATACTAAGATGCCTATTGCATCACTACATAACATAACATTAACTGAAATGCTGCTAGATGGTGCAAGACTGTGTTAAAAGAATTACACACTACTTTCTTCATAGCATAAATATCTGCATTATACTTTAAAGAATATAGATGTGAAAACGAAATACGAAGAACAGCTAAACTAATGAAAACATATTGGCTTATGTGAACACATACAATAATTTGATGACACTTTTTAAAAGCAGATATAATCATAATTATGTCTGGTTATGTGTACAGGTTTTCTTCTAGAATTTATATCTTTCCATACTGTAGTTCTGTAAGTCTCCATCTTCAATTTCACTTAGTTTTAGACTTATGAAAGCCCATTCTTTAATGAACGGCAACATTTTGTTTTCAAAAATTTAAATATTGCAATCAATACATGTTCCTTTTAAAAAGCCTATGTATTAGATAATTAAGATGCTTTTAAATGGAAATTATCTGGTGAGGCTTCTATTTTTTACCAAGAGGAACCTGCCTGTCATGTGGAGGGCAATATTCTACCTTGAACAGATGGGAATTTCTATAAGATTTTCATCTTTGTTTCTTAGTACCAGTCAAGAGAAAAACAAATTATATTGAATATGTCTTTGACTTTGATATGATTTCCAGAAATGTAGTACTTTAAAAAGAGGGATAAGCTTATTATTAGGACTTCCAATCTGGACCTTATAGCTGTACTTTGAAGGAATTAATTAAACAGCATTTAACATTTCATAAAACCTCTCAATTTCTTCATGGAAAAATGACAGTTATACTAAATTTTCTTTATGGTTTCTGTCCACTTAAATCTTTCACCACTATAAATATCAGCCAAATTCCGACTCTGGTCCCTCTTCTGAGACATCTGACTATATTCAGAGCGTCTTGTGTCCTGCCAATTGGCCACTGTGTAGTAGACTATGTAAGTATTATGCTGAGCAGATTGCAAGCGCTTTGCTTCCTGCTGAGTCTAAATGATAAAAATTCTCAAAGAACTTGTTGCAAGAGGAAAAGAACCTTCTACCATGGAAACAGCGATAAGATGATCTGTGGTATTCCCATTCTAAAATAAACCTTTTAAATCACAAAGAGAATCTTCTAGATGTGCCAACTCAACATATCAAACCCGTTTGTTTAACAGGAGATCTAGGGCCTCTTATATGAGCCTCTGAAGTCTAAAGTAAGTTTCACTGTAACAGCATTTAACCACTAACCATCTCTACCACGTAAATCTTAATGGGTCCCACATGGGTATCACTCACACAAATATTCCAATGATTCAAGGTATGAATGCTATGCTGCTCAAAAGAAGACAGCATTTTGATGAAAATAAAAAGTATAAGTACTTAAAACTAGTTGATTAAATTTTAAGCTTAGAAGAGTAGTTGAATCAATAAAAATGTATGAACTGATAGATGTTGGGTTAATACCATGAATAATTATATAATCTAACCCTAGAGTATTTAGTGAAGCATATGAGAGAGGTTTGTTAACAAATAACTGTAATGTAATTTGAAAAATTCTACCATAAATGTAGGAAGTATAATATACTTAAAATTTAGAAAACAAAGAGGAGACGTACCATTAAAATACAAAAGCAATTTACTATTTTCCTGAGAGAACTGTTCTAACATTCAGAACTTTGCACTGAAACAACTGTATTTGAATAGACATTTTTGCTCTTGCTTCAGAGGAAAATAAAGCATTGAGTCTATAATTCATGCTAGGAATGAAATACATGGCATTTTGCGAAAATCTTCACAAATGTTAACTAAAGTTTTGTCTTTCTCTACCATGGGTAATCCAGTTATGGTTGTTTTCGTGGAGGAATTACTCACATAGAATGCAAAATATTTTCAACATTTTCAACAAAAGCAAAATATTTTTAACCCATGAATATTTATACTTTGCCTTAAGAGTGAAAAGACCCCAATGCTTTGCAGGAGGCATGTTTAGTGAAAAAAGATAGCCTTTCTTCCTAAGATGGAATGGTTATGTTCCCCCAGGGCCTCATATCCACAGGCTATTGAGTGGTACACTTCAGTGGTCTTTAATATCCTTGAAAGAGTAATGAATCACTGTAACTCTTACCAAGGTGCAATGACAGCTCTGCAGAGAATCTGAATTGTTATCTAGTAATACTTAAATAACTTTGAAAAACTTACATAACATTAAAATTATCAATGCTAGGATTTTAGTGCCAAAAGGAAGCTTGGATATCTTTTAACTTTTAACCATTTGCTTGCAAAGAATTCCTTACACTTTCACTCTCTGAAATCATGCAGTCCATACTTGATGGGCAGGAGAAATTCAATTATTTCAGAAATGTTCCAGTCTTCTTACTGAAAGAGTTAAAATCCAAGGCTTTCCCAGGCATGTTTTGGTTTTCTAGCTTTGTAGAAAGCAAGCATAATCTGGAAGTGAAATGAGCCCATTGCTTATCCTCTGCCAAGAGCAGTGTTACACCTGCAGAAAGCGGGCCAAGTGTTTCTTGTTTATAACATGTTTTACTTATGGGAAAAGCAGAAATCCATTTCACCTACCTCCTCACAGGCAGTTCTGAAATCCATGTGCTATGGCACCTCAAAGGATGTGGTCTGAAAAAGCAGAGAAATGGGAAGCCATTTAGCACAGCATGCAGTGTAACAGAGGACACCTACAACGTGTGAGAAATTGTGAAGCAGGCACTATACAGAAATTGTGTTACAATCACCTATAGGGAAGAAGAACTGCATGGGAGTTGACAGAGAGAAATGAGGAGAGGCAAAAGTCTTAATCCTCAGCTATGTGAAGTATAAACATGCTGCAGACATTCACTGAGGTGGAATGTGCCTTTCCATACACCTCTCGACGCCTCCAGGCATTCAGACAGGATCTGTTATACAATTAACCTCTTCTCTCAGGTGTTTGCTCCTTCCCACTACTCATTTTGAAACCTGAGTTTGCAAGTGGGATAGAAACTTCAGAAAGAGTAATTAAAAGTTGCCTTTCATCTGGTTATCTCTTAGAAAAAGGTTGACTAATCTTTCTCTTTTTAATTAAAAACCTGCACGCATGAATAATTTTCTCTGGAACTTAAAATTTTATTCACACCAGTATGATGCAGAGAAGCAAACTATTTATCTGAGTGTGTAATATTAAGATAAGTCAGTGTATAAAATACCCAATACAGTTATTCACTTAGGGAACACTGTAATAACTAAGTGATGAATATAGATTTAAATCATATGAGGATTTTTTAAAAAAATTATTTTAGAGCATTTTGTTTCACTTTAGGATAGACATAACAAAAATAAAAGTTGTCACACAATTTGATACTCTTATACTATAAAATAAAACTATGGAGAGGCAAAATATAATGCTTAGCTAAATGAGACTTCAAAGTAAAATATGTGGTTACTCTCAAATTTGAAAACCATACTCCTCAAAATCAGTCTTTCTCTCAGTCTTGGAAAGGGTAAACCATTTTATCCCTTTCTGCCATTTGTTTGTTAGATGAGACTAAAAAATGCTTGATCAGGAAAGTGTGGTAAAATAGAGTGGGAAGTGTCATGAAAGCTGTCACTGCATTGATAGATTATTACTGCTGGCTTTGAAGAAAAAAAGATTGGCCATTTTCAGTAGTAACGAACATGTCATATAGTAATATATAAAATATTTTCCCTGAGTAAGCCTTGTGGATTGTGAACTTGGTTTTATTTTCCTGAAATTAATGTTGTTATTCCTTTAACCTGGAAGTAGGAAATTTTCAATATTTACAGACTATATAAAAATAAGATATGTCTAAAATGAAATTCCTGGTTTCAGTAAGCGACCACAGAAAAGATGTGAGAATGTTAACCACTTATCTAAAATCAGCCTTATATTTAATTTCACATGCTAAATTTCAATTTAGTGTATACATTTTAAAAGATGTGATTATTTTTAATAGTAGGACAAATTTAAACAGAGGTTTTATTTATGCCACAATCATTTTAGCACATTCTCTTTTAAAAGATTAAACTTACATTTGATTTGTCCAGACACTCAATAGTAACATCAGTTATTTATTCAGAAAAAGATTAATATGAGATTCAAAACATTTTATTTACTAGGTACCACAGTAAATTTTATAACTACAATAAAACTAATTTTCTCAATTACAAATTTAAAAACAGTGAGTTACATAGACTCATTTAAATTTTTAAATTCTTTCCCAATAATGTTTAGATTTATATAAAAATCTAAAAATTTATTTTCTATAAAAATTGTGAAATTAACACGGTTCCCACCTATGGACCCCACCTTTATCTTTCTCTACTATTAGTATGACATATAGGTTGCAATTAAAGGCATATTGTTGATATATTATTACTGTCTAAAGAACTAACTTTATTCATATTTCCTTTTTTTTTTTTTTTTTGGAATGCAAGAACTTTATTGAAAGTACAGTGGAACTTCTTTGTATCTTCCTTTGTTTTTCCCTAGTGTCATTTTTTTCTTTTTCCTGGATCCCACCCATAGCTTGTTTAGTTTATGTTTAGTCATCTTGTCTCCTCAGGTTCCTCTTGGCTGTGACCATTTCTCCAACTTTCCTTGTCTTTAAAGAAATCAGCGTTAGTGATAACTGGTCAAGAATTAGTATATTTTCTTTCAATGGGATTATTCTAATTTTTTTTCTTAATAAGACTGGGGTTACAGGGTAAGAAGAAAAAAAACACAAAGTATCATTTTTATCCCATGCAACCAAGAATACACACTGTCACTACAACAACATTGCTAACTTAATGACTGGACAGAGGTAGTATTTGTCAGATTTCTCCATTGTATCTATACTAAACTAAACATGGATTTTCAGTGATGTTCTACCTCTAATATGTAAATCCATGTACAATCCAAATCTCCTCCTGCTTACTTGTAAATTCCTGATTGGATAATGAGAAACTTAGTTTTGAGTAACTTCTCGTTAAGGTACTTAGCTGTGCAATTCCAGGACATGAGAATAGCCATATCAGCATCATCAACTCATACTCACATGAGAACCAAGCATAGCAACTACAGTAGTTTATTTTGCCTCTTTAATCTTATAGACTGTGTGCATTGCCAGAACTTCTTACGCAAGGCTGGGGATGTGGATCAGTGGTGCAGCACTTGCCTAGTATGTGCAAGTCCCTGAGTTTGATCTTGTTATGGCTTGTATCTGGATGTCCCACAAAAGCCTCATGAAGTCATAGGTGGGGCTTTTTCAGAGGGGGCTAGATCTAAAATGTCTGATGGTGTGATTAGGGGTGTGTGATTACTAAATTCGTCCACTGATTGGTTAGGCATAGTTCAGAGTGTGGATGATGGGAAGGCCCGTCCTATGTGTGAGTGCTACCTGCCCTAAGAGACAGAAAAAAGACTGCTGTCGCCACTTACTGCTTGCTACTTTGGTGCTTTGCAATGTTCCTGGCTCCTGCCCACCCTGAACTGTTTCTCCTCTGTGATGCCTCTCTGCCATGCCACCCTACCTTGAACCTAGCCAAGTATGAACTGGAATCTCTGTGACCTAAATAAACTTTTCCTCTCTTAACTTGTAGGTATTGGTTATTTTTTTCAGCAACAAGGAAAGTAATTAAAGCAATCCCCAGTATCACACACACACACACACACACACACACACACACACACACAGAGGCAAAATTATGGCAATCTAAGTGACAAATGAGAAGTGGCCACATGCTCTCTCCTGCTCACTCTGCCATTTCCTGAGGAGATCCAAGAACTTGGTATGGCCTCAGAATAATACATATGAAACAAAACTCCTCTAAAGACTCACAAGATGACAGGGTAGGCAGAGCCACCCTTTTACCTTTACCTTGAGCAGAGCTGCTAAAGACATATTGCAGGCCTCTGAGCAAAATGAATGCTTCATATTTGTGGTTGTTAGCATTTATGCCAACTTGGCTATCCTAGGATATCCAGTTATTCAGTCAAGCACTAATCTAGATGATGCTGTGAAGATACTTTGTAGATGTGGTTAACATGTTCAGTAAGTTTTCTTTAAGAAATGGAGATTATTTTCAGTAATGTGGATGGGTCTCAGCAAATGAGTTGAAAAGCCTTAAAATTCAACACTGAGGTTTCTCTGAAGAGGAAATTCTGTCTCAGGACAATAACATTGACTTCTGCTTGGGAATTTCCAGCTTGCTGGAGTGATAAAAGACTTCAAAATTGCTCACCATTATAATTGCATTAGCTTCATAATGCATGCTACAGATTCTCCAGAGAACCATACAGAAATACAGATACACACTGATACAGATCTTTGGATTAAAAGTGGTTTTAAAGCAACAGATTCCTAAACATGAATTTGTGGAAATGGTTCTGGGTTTCCAGAATTGTTGAATCTAATTAGATTTAAAGGCACTAGAGGCTATTTCCAGATTAATAAGAGAATTGCTAGGCCATGACATGAAGAGGCAATAGAGATACCCAAAATATACCCACTGGACACTCCTAATCAAATATCTATATAAGGCAAGCTTTTCAGCAACCATATATTTGATAACTCAGAATATGTTTTCAGATGAGACTAAAGAGATTTACTGTTTTCTCTTAACGATGGCAGAGACAGTGTAAAGAAGATGCATTAAAAGCTTTTAACTTCTAGCTTAAATGCTGCATAAATGATCTGAGTATGTCTATGCCTGTTTTAAAATAAACTCCAATCTAGACTGGGATTTCTGAACATTAACCTCAGAATCTCATCCTTCCAGGGGCTGAATTACATCACAAGTTAAATTCCTAGTCTCAGGGGGGATCTTCTTTTAGAGGACATTCATTGGGAAGAACCAGGATCTTAAATATCAAAATGGACGGAGACTTATGTGAAGATTGCAATAAAGGTGGAATGACTGAACTTGCGAATTCCTCTGAGTCCTCCTTGTCTCTAGAGTTAGGGTCTCCCCTGAAGTAGTTATCCTGAAAGACAATGCTTAGTGTCTTCAGGGTCAAACCACTATATCCTTCTTTACATCTATACTTGAAAGTAGGCTCAAGTTGCAAAAGAACCCAAACTACAAGGTACAAAATTTGACTCATGAGGTATATGAAATGTTTTGCCAAATGAACACAGACAGAATTCTAGGGAATACATGTGAGATTGGAGATTAATGATGATAGATAATGATGGAAAGAATAAAGTTTGTGTCAGGCCAAATTTATTGATATCCATTGATAAGCAGATATTCTGGATTTAATATTAGGGTCCTAGGGAGTACTTTCTTAGTCATTTTATTTAAGCATAGACCATAAATGTCCTACACTAACTCAGATTGAAATGCCTGAATTGCCTTGAAATATTACAGAGGAAAGTAGAAAAAAATCTCTCATAAGCAAACTGCTTAATCATCTTGGAAAGGTTCAGCAGACACACCTTTTAGTATGATTGTGAGGAATAAATGGGCAGGGATCCCAACACTGCTGAGGAGCTCTGTAGACACCTTCCTCCATTAGGCAGAGTGTACAGAAAGAATGGCCTCCTCTGACCTCGGGTCCTCATCTGAAGTACTAGTATTGGATAACTGAAAGGTAGGGACCACATGGTAGAACCAAGTTGTCAAAGACAAGGAATGAT